AAAAAGTTTCCTATGCAGAATTTGTTCATGTTCAAGTTGAAAGTGACTTTAGACAATTTTGTCTAAAGAAGTCCTTACATTAGTGATATTTCAGCGATATTCTGTGGGGAAAAAGGTTCATTGTCTCTTGTCAATAGCCTGGAGATGTATAAAGCACAGCTCACACAGAACTCCATTGGTCAGTGTGGTGAATTCAACTTGAAAATGAGCAAAATCTGCGAGGGCAACTTTTTCGCGCTTAAGTGAAATTCCCAAATGCACAGATTTCTATTAGAATGACCCCATTTTGCCCAGAACATTTTACAGAACAATGGTTAATGTGACCACACCATAAAATTCACATTTCTGTTTCTCACTACACTCTTAAAAATAAAGGTTCTTTATTTGTATTGAAGGTTCCATGAAGAACCTTTAACATCCATGGATCATTTTCAATGAGATTCAAAATGATACACTGAGATTGACTTCAGAATGGAAAAAAGTTCTTTAGAATATTAAAATGTTCATCACATTCTCTTTTAGATGGTTATTGTCCTCACCTCAAACGCATATCTTGCCTGCTGTCCAGTAGTGCTGTGGTCTCAAGAGTTGGAGGTGGAACCTTGAGGAACATTATGAGAAGTACTGGTAGATATCTGAGAGACATGAAGGTAAGCATGCTAAGAGCCTGATTTTTACCTGTGAGGTTGGTAGTAAAATGCTCTGCTTCAGGACCCCTCTGTACTGACTGAGCTGGGTCAGCTGGTTACGTAGACTGTCCCTGTTCCTTGATACCTACATGCAAACTGGGTCAAGATCACCACTTGCACTACATGATATCCTTTCTGGAACAGCAGATATTCATTTAGCCTACTTCTCCTCCTTTCTCCTCTCACCTCTCTGAGTTCTCTGGCCAGTCTCTCGCTCTCCTCCTCAATGGAGAGCAGCTCTCTAGGCTGTGGGGCTGATGGGATTGGTGTGGCTGTAGGTAAAGGCCCTTTCAGAGGAGGACAGATAGAACGGCTGATCTCTTGCTCCAGATACTCTGAGGAATGGAGGGAGAGGAAAACATGTTGAGGATGTGCACAGTGATTATGATATGATATGATATGATGCATGATGAGTGTCAGAGAATGACTCAAATAACTATATAATACTTGCTGTAGTGGTAGCTGGACATTGAAAGGCGAATATTTCATGGTTACAGAATAATAAGGGTAAACAATGGTTAGTTTTAGAGACTTACTGAAGGTTTTCTCCAGCTCCTCACATCTTCTCACTTCTGAAACAAACTTCCTTTGAAAGGCATTCACATTTGGGTTCAGCTGAGAGGATTGGGTTCAAGAGAGACAGAACAAGAGGGATAAAACCAAGCAAGACAGACTAAATGTGATGGCAGGGTATGAGCACAGATTTTTATCTGTAGACATAAGCTTGGTCAGTAAGATTTAAAAAATATTTAAGTAGTATCTTATGTTTACCACGTCTGTTTTTATTGTTATTATTATTAAAAACAGTAATATTGTATTGTACTGTAATATAATATTTCTATTTAATATATATATTTTTAATTGTTGAATTTTTAGCCGTCATTACTCCAGTCCTCAGTGCCACATGATCCTTCAAAAAATCATTACTAAATGCTGATTTTGTGCATATGTAACATTTCTTATAACTATAAATGTTTAAAACAGTTGCTGCTTAATATTATTGTGGAAACTGTGACACATTCTTTTCAGGATACTTTGATGAATAGTAAGTTCAAAAGAACAGCGTTTAGAACAACGTAAAATTCTTATCTCTCACTTTTGATCAATTTAATGTGTCCTTGCTGAATCAAAGTATTCATTGAAAAACAAAACAAAACAAATCTTAAACTGACCCCAAGCTTCTGAACAGTATGTATCCATCAAACTCACATCTCTGAATTCGACTAAGCCCAGCTCCCCAAGCTCACTGACGCAGTTGTAAGCTGAACCTGCCTGGAGGAAGAGCTGGACCAGACACATCTCCTCACTTCGGAAGAGGCATCCCATGATAGCCTGAAATATAATGTGTTCAAATATCAGACCTCAACAATAAACAGTACTACGAAAACATGAAAGCAACTGAGAGATAAGAATATCCATATATCGTGCAAATTGAAAAACAAGTGACAAGTGTGCTTATTTGTTGCATTTCTTTGTACTTATTAATGTTGTTTACATTGTGTCAATGAAACTAAAGGTCATTATTGTGCATAGGGGATATTTATCTAATAGCTTGTGTTTTTTCTCATTTTGATGCATAAGGGTTTGTGCACTGATCAGTTGCATGTGATGGTGGTTAGTTGGTAATCTAATTGAGATTTCACAGGGGATTCACCCATGCTCATGTGATGAATAAAGTCGTGAAAGAGAAACAGAATCTCAATTAGAGGAATCTGAAACTCATCTGAGCTAAGGCATCTGATCGGCACTTTAAGAAAAATAACGTTACATAGACATTATTTGGGAATAAAAATGTAACGTTAAATGCTATAAAATGAAAGCTCTTAAGGATTTTAGCAATGAAAGATAATTTATTAAAACAGTTGCACCTTTATAAACAATAATTAGCCTATAAATGTAGGCTATATGATACAGCATTGCAGCAAAGGAATTTTCTCGCATTTACCAGAAATCTATATAAAGAGACATATTAATTGTCTTTCAGCACAGTGCATGCTAAAAGCATTTACAGCGATCTTTTTACATATTTAATGAAAATGTGGAATAATGGGAATTGATGGGAGTCTGTCGGAGAGCACTTAGCCTACTAATAGCGACAGTGTCCCGTTACTGCAGAAGCGTGGCGTAGCTACATAAACAAAAGCCGACGGTGTGAACTGAACAAACGCGATTCAGTTGCTTCTGAATCACCTATAGTTTATATAAAACGGTATTTATAGAATTTATGTTTCAATGAGTTTGTTCAATGTTTTCTGAATTAATTCAATTCAAATGCGCATCAAATACTGCATGCCGATCTTACCGTATACGAGAGATGGATAGATCCAAGGTGATCGTGGTGGGAAAAAATTATCCACAATTTGATCTCATGGTTGGTTGTATTCTGAAGCTGTGCGAGGTAAACAGCAGATCTTTGAGCTCGTGGCCTCTCATTACTCCAGCTCCAGTCATTGCCATGTGATTCAGCCACTGAATTAGACCTGCAACAGCACACAACAAGCCAAGAGCTTCGAATAACACGCATTCAATCCCTGTAGAGGAAATAATCATGCCAGTTAAATGGTGAAAGTATTTATTTGACCATTTCTAGTAACAAAATAAATAGTGAAATTAATAAATTTACAAATGGCAATGCATTTATGAGAGAAGCAATCCTTTTAAAATGTAATACAATTTCAATAGAATTAGAAGATAATTAATAAAAAAAATTAAAATAGATAAAAAAATATCTGCATAATGGCAAATGTAAGATATCCAACCACATCAAAGTAAACCATTTCGATTTACATTATTAGCTCTGAACACATTAGGCACTGTATTTTCCCCCTTCTATTTTGGAAAAATCAATGGAAAGGATATATTTTAATATTTAATATTTTTAATTGTAATATATAATATATATATTAGATTATAAAAGGAGGAGCAATGACAATATGTAAATATGTAAACTGTATGACAATAACCACTGACTGAGAGCAAGAATTTGACCACTATGGCTTTCAGACAAATCTCATATCACATCACAGAGCACCTCCTAGCATGAGGAAGACAAGCTGTGTTTTAGTCACCGGTTTCTTAGAGGAGCTGACTGGTAATCTCATGCTGGCATGAATAAAGAATCACAGCAGCCTCACGATCTGCATTCAGTTGGCACAGGCAACACACCACACAAATACAGCACTATAGACTGAAGGATCACATGGAAGGTAGGAAGGTGAAAGTTATAGGGACTTGAGTACAAACACCTTTAACATTTAGTGAGACTATTTGTGAACTATACCATCGACTTTTCTGTGTTTTCTTTAAGACTAAAAGTTATGTGAAATAAAAAGGGTTGTTGTGAAATCCATATATGACAAGACAGCATGGCAACACCTAAATTACCACTTTATGTCTACACGATAATGATCATTTTTGTCTAAAAAGACCAGAATCCATATTCTCCAAAGACAATGTTCAAAGTTTAAATATGCAGTCAAATCACAGAAGCAGAAGTTTTCATTTTCAAACCGTATTCAGAAGCAAAAACTGCCTGTTTATATCTCACAGTTCTCAATTTTTTCTTGCGACTTCTCAGAATTGTGAGGAATGCACAATTGCGGAATGTTAACAAGATGTTAACTCACAATTGTTGCAATAACCTTTTTTTTTTAATCCCATGGCAGAAACAAGCTTCCATACAACAACTCTTTCGCAGGTCTCTTTATGAAAACAACTGGAGATATAGCATAAACGTCCTTAGAAACTTAGTTTATATAATCACTCGACTGATACTACTGTTTCTTAAGCATTCATTTTATGTTTTAATTGTTAAATTTGTATTCCAACAAGGCATATGCATCCCTCCCACAAAGTACTCATGAGCATAAACATTGCACCGAGACAGATGCATGCTGGGAGGGCAGGAGTCCTCTAGCCACGCCTCTGACATATGTATCCTGTTGGGTTTGTTTATGCAGACCTGCCAGCCTGAATTGGTGTGGTCCTCTGTTAGGGCTTGATATGAATGTCTAATTGTCTATGAATGGAGAGCTGCTACAAAAAATATAGAAGGAACAGCTGAAGGCTGGAGCACTAACATAAATAGATGGTCCAATCCCAGGCTCCTCTATAATTGGGAATATGAATTAGGTATGAGGAATAAAATTAATTCATTGGTGTGATGACTCAGTTAATTACTCCTGTATTTATTTTAAAATGACTAAATCAACATCAAATTCTTGTGTTAAAGCCAAGGCTACTTGGCTATTTACTTGAAGTTCCAAAAATATTCTAAAGCTTAATCAGCGTTCCACAAGAAAACAAATAGTCAATGGCAATGAAGGGAAATTGTCAGTTATAGCCTACCACACTTTTAGTTAGGGAACAATATACGGATCTGCTCTTCGACATTTTAGGTATGGATCATATTTCTCACAAGCAGGGATGAGCAGACTACGCTTGCCACATTTCTTGCGATATTTTCTTCTTTGAAATACTCAGCCCAAGCCTACACACACATCAACACTCACAACAGCATAAATCGTCCATTGCATCCAAGTTGGTCAAGACAAAAGAAGCGGAATGTGCCCGGGGCGGTTTGTCCGCACGACAGCAGAGGGCTGAGTTCAACTCCACCAGACTCCCACAGGACACTCCTACCGACATTACAGCTCTGATACACGCTTAAATCCGACATTTACAACGGAAACAGCCATCATATTAATGAAACTGTGAGTATGCCATGATCGTTTTGGGTGAAGAATACCATCTTTGTTAAATTTGCGAAAATAACCTAACGCTAGCATTACGCGATTTAAAGCTTATTTTCCTTATGCAATGTTGTTTTAAATTCTAATACATCCGTTTTCTCTTTTCGCTTTACAATAAAAGTAATTAGGCTAATCCACATGCAGGCGCGTGCGCGTTTTTTGTCACACAGTCACCCTCCTATTTTTAATAGGTGACTATATTTAGTCAAACATTGCTTTAACGTTAGTTGTTGCTAACATTTCCCATTGCTTTTTGGTTTATGTTTTTTCGAAGCATATGTTGAGATGAAACCAAAATCTTAAAAGCGCAGACTTGCGTCTCATACATGAGTAAGCTATATCGACATTATTTGATTTGATAACCTGTTGTTGTTGTTTCTTCGTTCATTTATTGCGCTTCTCGGCATAACTAAATCGAATTATTTCGTGCATTCGCGCGTAACATAATGATGTCACTGCTTTTGGAAGATCTGGCCCAATCATTTAATCTAACGCCCTTTAGGAAAGCAGACCATTACAAAGGCATCAGCCGCCATTTGTGTGGGCGTTCCGGTTTACTTCAAAACATCCTCTGTCCAGGCTATTTAATTAATATGCACCGTATAAACTGTACTATACTCAAACGTTTCCTAGTTTCGCATAAAGCACGAATTGCAGCTGAACTGTATGGGTACTGACTTGCAGAGGAATGCTGTCAGTGTGCATTTTGAAGAAGTTATGAGTTTGGTGGGTTGCCTGGAGTGGTTTGACACTTGATCTTGAATCTTTCACAAATAACTAAGCTGTTTTTGAGATCTCTTTAAAAAATCTTCATGTATGTTTTGTATCATATATTGAGGCTCACACACACATTGATTTTATTCAGAGGCCCAAACAGCAATGCTATTTGGTGGAGATCTTTTTGTTTTTATGGCCACAAAAGTATGACTAGGCCTGTCACGATAACAACTTTTTGTTGTGCGATATATTGCCCCAGAAATAATTGCGATAAGCGATATTATTGTCATTTTAAAGACCTTTTTATGCCACTGAATATATAATCATAATGTAACAGCATAATAATGCAAGAAGGCCTACACACTTCCAAATGACAACAAACTTTTAATTTTGAAGAATATTTAGATCATGGAAATTAAGTATCAAAATATTAGATACCTTAAAAAACCTGAATAAATAGTAAATAAACATTTTCTAACAAAAAGTGCAAACTAACAAGTAGGAAAAAGAGAAAAGTGCGCAAAGAACTTGTATGCGGATTTTTCCATCTACAGATTTTTCCCTGACCTTCTTTTCTCTGTAAATTAAGGGTGCACACTATTGCTGACAAACACAATCACTACTTAGCAGTCAGATGTCCGTATGCACAAAGGCACAGATCCCTAAACAAGACCATATCTGCAGATGAAACATTTTTTGTAGAAGCATTTTTAAAATTTGAACAAGCACCTCATGACTACACCACGTTATGTACGAGAAGCTGCAAAAGACACAGGCGCAAGTGGAATGTACAAAACATGGTGACATTCATTTTTAAGTAAATATAATGGGCGATATATTGCGTCACCAAAAATTATTGAGGTCATGTACATATATTGCGCGATAAGTTGATATATTGATTATTGCGACAGGCCTAAGTATGACGAAATTCTTATAGATTGTAATGTAAACTTGTAAGACTACTTACATAAAATGCATATAAATGTAACTTGTCAATTTATATCTCCCAAACTATGTTTTAGGATGATATTTAAATGCTTAGTTTTATGATCAAATCTCTGTAGTTTTTATTGTGAGGGCAAAAACATAATGCAGTGCAATACAATGATGACTGAGAGATGTAAAACATTCCTTAAAAGCCTGATGTATCATATTTCATACGTTTTACCATGATTTTTCTAAAAAAAAAAAAAAGTGAATGGATAATCAAGTAAGATTCATTGTCTTGAAATATTACTAACAATATAAAAAGTATTCACAGGTTTACTTTAAAGATAAAAAACTAAAAAAGTACATACTAAAAAAGTATGAACTATCCAGCAGACGACAGAAGGTATGTAAGAGATTGTGTACAAAAGATTTTTCTGCAAAGTTTTGATCATGCTGATAATTTAGAGACCTAAAAAACCTAGAAATTCATGTATCAAAAATGAAACGTTATAGCTTTATAGGGTTAATATCATGCGCACAAAAAAATTAATGATCAGGAGATACGCTGAACAAGGTGTTTAGACGACCCATAATTCAGATTTTTGCAGGCATATGTTAACATGTTCTGTCCTATATTCCCCCAGCCGTTGGGCTAAAATCAACCCAAATGGCGGTTGTTTTTTTTTTACACCAGTGTTTTTAGAACGTGGGAATACTCTGAACAAAGTGTTTACATGACTCCAAATTGTGATTAATGCAAGCATATGGCATCTGATTTATTCCGATTATTAGAAAGCATATTGGCTTAACCTGTTTAAGACAATCAGGTTGATGTTTTAATGTAATTTGTTTTCAGAATCTATCTGCAATACTGGTATATCTTTTCTCAGACAGATGCTGAGTATTTGGACCCTCCTTGCAACTGCTATTTGTGCAGGTATTACAACATTTGCTTATTAACCATACTGAACATGCACAAGAATAACAGGACAAGTTGAAGCATGTGTTCATTTAAATAAACAGCCTACACGTGATGCTTACTGCCAGTTCAAAAGTACTCCTACTCATCTTGCCACTCTAAAGAACATTTCTCCCTCAGTGTCAGTCTCTGCGATATCTCAGAGGCTTGTAATCCACGGCCATAAGTTAACTCTGGATCTTCCTGAGAGGACAAAGTGGTTGAAGTTTGTTAGTGCTGATGAGAGTGAAGAACTTACTATCTGGGAACACAAAAGCTTTTCTTTCCGGCCAAATAAACCCAGTAAAGGCGAAGTGAGCAGCGCCACTGAGGGCTGGACGTTCAGAATCAGACATGTTACGTTTGATGATCAGGGAAGCTACACCCTGTACAATCACTTTGGTTCAACCATCTCAAGTTATATAGTGACGGTCAAGAGTGAGTAGTAATTTAAACCTCTATCTCAGAATAATATCTCTGTGACTGTCCACATACCCTCACTATCTGTCCTTCTCTCCTTTACAGCCAGCAGAGAAGTCATTGATTGTATCGCAGGTGAAACTCTGAGCATATCTCTAGCAGGACTCAAGCAGAGTGATGCCACACTGCACTTTTACAGCAATTATTCATCTGTCACCCTGTTGGAGAATGGCGTTCCTGTGGGACGGAACCTCCCAGACTACATAAACCGGCTTAAAGTGAACAGCGAAACCATTCAGATTCTCAATGTAAATACATCAGATTTAGGCAGATACGAGCTCACTGATCTCGAAGGAAGACTCGTCTCAAACAATACAATGATACTAGTGGGTAAGGAAACATTTTTTTTCCCTCAAAATATTTTAAAATGACACATTTTTTAAAATAAATTAAGTGACAGTTTAAATTGATCAAAACGTATTTGTAACATTTCTATTTGTAAGAAAAATTGATGAGGACATCAAAGATCTCGATGAAGATGCTTATTGCAGAATATCCTAATCTCAATCATTTCATACAGTTACAGTTTACTACCCTTAATGTAAATGAAGTTGCTCCTGTCGTAACAGCTGTGATCTGTATGTTAATGAAGTTCTGACACCCCATTGTCTGAGAAGGTTCTCAGTGTCCCACACCCGCTCCCATTCGACAATTGGTCTCCATTTGCTCAGGATGTGATCATCCCAATGGCGCAGAAACAACACAACTGTTGACTTTCATCTTCTCTATAATAATTAATCCATTTTGGGAAATGAACATGATCAAACATCTATTGTGAAGTGAAATCTCGGTCGGGGCAGACTATGGTTTCTTACATATTTCAAATAAATAAATTATGTTCTGCCTAACTTTATTCCATTAAAGAATACTGCAAAAAATGTATTAAGTTTTCCACATTCCACCATATTAGAATGATTTCTGAAATTCACGTGACACTGAAAATTGGTGTAATTCCTGCTAAAAATTTGACTTTGCCATCACAAAATAAATGACATTAAAAAAATTTATTAAAATAGAAAACAGCTATTTTAAATTGTAAATATTATTTTACAATATTACTGTTTTTACAGTATTTTTGATACAAAAATGCAGCCTTGGTGAGCATAAGAGATGACTAAATGTTTGAATGGTAGTGTATATTCAAATAAAATGTTTATGTATACAATTTGCTGATTTTATTTCAGAGAATTGGGTTTCATGCATCTCTTGATGCCTGTTCTTCTCTCGTCTCTCCAAATATCTTTGTAGATCAACATGACTTTGCCCCTAATAAAGGTCTAATAGCTCTACTGCTGCTTGGGATTCCTGGAGGAATCTGCTTCTGCTGCAGAAAGAGAATCTGCAAAAGGTGTCGGACATCTAAATCATACACACAAACAGGGCAGTCCAACACCGAACCAGTGTCTATACCTTGCAGCAACACTGTGACTGTTCCTGTTGGTCCTGGAGATCCTGGCCAGGTAAAATAGAGTCTGTCTCTCTCCCTGCACTTTCCTGTCCATTCTCTACTATCCATTCTCTAAAAGGCAAACAAAATCAATAAAGAACAAAAAAAAAACACTTTGTAAACTCTTTGTGACAGAACCATGCTAAGCAACATTAGAATAATCTAGTGATTGTAGCTGGTGTACATTGTAATTACTATTAAGAGTTTGTTGTTTCTGATTAAAGGGCTACAACGCTGGTTATCCGCCTCATCCAGATCAAGGTCAGATTCATTATCCTTATCCACCAGAGTCGAGCGGACAACCTGCTGTTCCTCCTAACCATGTGAGTTCACATACACTGAGACTGACAGCAGCTCCTTCGACCCAAAGTGACAAATAAGGAATGTTACAAAAAGTTCATCCTGAGGTGGCAGCAACTTTTGAAACTTTTCAATACAAGTTCTAAATTGTTTAATTAGCTCTAGAATAGCAGAATGGGAAAATAATGCAGGTTTTTAAAAAGTTTATTCGAACCAGTAAAGAGTTTTTTTTTTTTTAAGTTCAACTGTAAAAATCAATCTTGTGCATGGTCTGTTTTTAAGGGCTTTTATCCTGAGTATGTGCCTCAAAACCCTGTCTATCCTCCTGACTTTGGACCTGGACTTCCCCCTGCTCAGCCGCCCCCGTGGAATGCCCCTCCGCCCCAGTATAACCCTTCTGCACCTGTGGTACATCCAAAATCTTTGGCAAATCTCTTTGCTTTTCATTTATTTCTATGTGTTTATTTGTAATGTAATGTGTAAAGATAAAAGCAATTTAAAATGCATTAATGGTTCTGAAGGGGACAACACCGGGTTAAGTGTCTGCAATTCTACTAATATTTGTCTGTCTATCAATTTTTTTATCAATGTACATTTACTATTTTTTTTCTTTGTTACTTTTTTCAAAGTCACATGCATTAAAATATCCATACAAATTAATTTAGTCATGCTTTGTGTGTATGTGCTTGTTTGTGTATATACATTTGTATAACATGGAAGTATACATGTGTATATATAACATGATACTGTGTGTGTTCTCAGAACTATACGCCAGTAATGAACAGTGCTCCTCCTGGGCCTGAACCCACAGGGATGAATATGAATGAATTGCCGCCAACTGCACCACTGCTCACACCTCAGCCTGAGGTAACACCTAATATTTTTCTACCCTTGTTAAATCATTAAAAGGGTCATATGATAGTATTTATTGTTTATTTTTTTCTATTAACATCAGCCTGTGAGTAAACTTTTCTGGGGCCATACTTTAGGTTTTGCTTTGATTTCCGATACAGTTTTTAACTGTCCAAGCTTACAGCAACAGCCTCTTCACGTTACATTTTGACATTTTTAAAACTAATTGCTGAAAATGAATGTTAGAAAAAGTAAAGCTTTATGCCTTTTGACACATTTCATATTCCCAATGTCTCTCTGTCTCACACTCTTACCTGTCTTTTTCTAGTCGCAGCCGTCTGTTATGAGCAGCATTTCCACGGATATCCTTAACTCCAGTGACTCTGGTGTCCAGTTTGACATTAACAAAGGAAAGTCTTCTGGCAGCAACTTTCTGTAGTTGCTCCAAAATCCTGAATTATCACTGCAAGGGATATAGAAACAAACACTTAGCTGTTCAATACACTCATGCAAAATCCAAGCCTTAAAAAGAAGAATACTCTTGTAGTCCTGAGAACTAATAGGACCTTAAAACTACTACTTCAGTAGTTTAGAATGAGACATATTCTTTCAGGACTCAGTCTAGTTTAAGTGCAATAGAAGGATATTACAATTAATATTTAAAAAAAATATTACATACTGTACCTCAAATCCCTGTTAACACTCTTTTCCAATGAAAAAAAAAAGCTTTCAAATAAGTGTCTTTTTTCTTACTTCATGTCACTCTCTTGCTGCTCTAGTAGCAGTAGAAAAAGCTGTTGAATCATACCAATGAAAAAAAAAGCTACCTCCATATTTTCAGCAAAATGTTTTCATATGATGCAGTCTCATGATATTTGGACAATCGATTAAGGATTCGCCCTCTGAATATGTTTTCAGCGACACCCATTGTTGATAGTGAATGTGTATATTGAAATAAAAATACCAAGCAATATCCATAAACACACACTAGTTATGGCCTGTCCTGAAGTTCAGTTTTAAGGTAGCGCTGAGCCACCATTTTCACTTGATCTAATACCTCCATCTGTCAAGCTAAAGAGGCTATATTCTATACTTTTGTGTAGAACTGCATGTAATAAGCCATTATTTTATTGTACAATGTTGTTGTGTAGATGTCCATACACTATTGACAGTAGTGTATTTACTTTTTTGTCATCTTTTATGTACAGTATATGCTTACCTCAGTCTCCTGAGAGGTGTAGAGTTGTGCAACAACAAAAAACCTGTAACCTGAGAAAACTAAAATATACAATTTTATTTGTTTACCTGCTTAAACAGCATCATGTAAACCCCAGGAATCTTGACACATGTGTGAAACAATTACAGGATTTATGGCTAATTTGGTTAAATACATATAATGCATGTTACTATTAATGCATGTAAGTGAATTTAAATGCATTAACATAGTGTTTCAGTGAATTTTCTCAACTACCATGCCAGTAGCTGCATTTCTTTAGGGCATTTTCATAGTGCTGCTAGTTAGCTGGAATAAAACAACAAATGCTGCAAACAAAATATTTATACTTGAATCTTGATGTGTAAAATATTAGTGACATTTTATATTATGGTTCATGTTGCAGCTGAATATAGATGCCTTATTTCAACTGCCCTTCATATCAAAATGTATATCGAGACAATAAAATAGCCTACCATTGTTCTTTAATAAAACAAAATACTGCTCTCAATTTCTGCACCAGGATTGCATTTACTGTTCATATTTTCATATGTATTTTTGTCTGACATACCTATAGTGCCAACTGGCAATGCAATTTCCCTTGTTATATATTGCACTATGGACACTTTGAACTATAATAAGAAGAATGACAATAAGCATCATTATCATAATCCGTATTCATGTTATTTTTAATGTCTGCACATAGTCAGAATCATGCATCTTTAGGATTTTATCAAAACAGACACTGCAACCAGTAAGGTTTCAGTAATTTCTCTAACACAAAAGATTTCACTGGATTCAAGGGGATATACAGAATTGGGTTTTAAAAAATACAAATAAAGAAAAAACATCTCCAATAAAATAAATAAAATGGTGGAGATTCTGGACCTTGCGCAGAGGATTTACATCTGCATAAGACTGAATGCCGAGGCAATTTTTCAGTTATTTGCAACAGCAAATGTTGTTTTTGTGACTTTAGGGATTCATCTTAAATTTTTTCACTCCAAAACAGTCATGGAAAAAATACAGTGGACTGTTGCCAAGAAGACCATTTATCGGACAGTGCTTTTGTTAACAATTTTTTTACAATGAATCGATTAAATACATTTTGTACTGTTGCCCTGTGCATCACATCCCTGAATAATGCATTAAGCAACAAAAACATGATTAAATGCAGTATAAAGACATTTGTTGTTCTCTGTAATTTAAGACCCTAGAAACTGTGTTTGAACATTCGATTCTGTCCTTTGGTTAACAATGAAACCCCTCGAATGCTAGATCCAATTGTGCTATGGGACCCGAAGACATGTTTTACTTGAGAATCAATAATCTTGGAACATTGAAGCACCTTCCAAGTTTAGATAAACAAAATGCACATGTGGTTCTACTGCAGGGTCACAATATCATGCTGGATTCCATCCTTGGATTTACAACTGCAGCAAAGAGAAAAGAAAATGAGTTTTTTTCTGGTCTGACAAGAGTTTCCCCGTCAATCCATTTTGTTTTTCTCCATCTCTCTTAGTCGTCTCTCCAGCATCTTGATTTTTTCCTCGAGGTGCCTATCTGGCTTTGCAGATGTTGAACCTATTCCAAACAGGAAACAAACACAAGCCAGGCCCGCTAGTCTTATCGCTGTGGTTTCTGCAGAGGCTCCAGTGTCGCTGAGAATCAATCCAAACATGCCTATGGCAAAGGTGACCTTCAGCAGCCACAGAGCCTGCCTTATCGCTCCAACAACCAAACTCAGGATGAAGGATATTATCCAGTAGGCCACAACAACCAGAAGGGCCCACTGAGCGACAAAAATCACTCCCTCCGGAGTAACTTTTTGGAAAGGTAGCTTGGCTGGATAAAAGCATGAATGAAAACATACATGTGAGAATGTGTTTTGGTTTAAATAAATTGAAACTTTCAAGTATAATTTTCTATATATTTACCATCAATTCCTGCTGATTTCAAGATTTCCGTAACATACTGGTTGACCATATTAAGTGCTGATGCCACAGCAACTGACAGCCATTTTACACCACTTTGTAGAAACTGATGTCCATGAATAAAAAAAAAAATACAATATCATTATTTTTTCCAAAGAAAATAACTTGCCAGTACAGCAAGCATCATGTAGTAATATACGTTGCATTAGCAAATTAGCAAACCAAGTGGCAAATGAATCTAATTCTGCTTTTCTGAGAACCACCTTCACTTTTCTTAGCCATTTTCAACTTTCATCAGCTGGCGTCAAGGTCAATTCCCTGGCATTTCAGAGCTCCGTGATATTACAACGAGAAAGTTTACAAATATTACACTGAATGATAGTTTTTTTATTATTATTATTGGTTGCCACTTGGTTTCTCACAGAGCCAGCATTATATTACACAGTGCAGTTTTTTTTACGATGTAAGCTCACCTTGAGAGAAAGGTCGACTCTCTTTTCACCAAATATAGAGACCAGGCAACTGTGGGCTTCCTCGGACAAACTTGTGATGATGGACCGCACATTTTGCAGGGGACTCGACTGCTCGCCCCAAGAGTGGCACAACGGTATCAACAGATATGAAACTGAAAGTATAATTGTGATAAAATAGAAACACTGGCCCATTTTAAAAAGTGCCTTTAATTACGCTAATAACACGTCGGCGCAATAGTGTTTAAACTCGTATTCGTATTATTCGCAAACAACGGGTACAGAAACAACTTGAAAACAACTAACGGCCAATACCGAGGTCCTGCACTACATGGAAAGAGTCAAGACATTGAAGGCGTCTCCGCTTGGGGATTACTAAATGAAGTTTAAGATGGGCATTTTATATCAGAAACGGTCTTACAATGGATGCCAGCTCTATCCTTCACTAATAAACCCGGGTTTTACGAAACTAATCCATAAAGCGTTTCTTTTCCCGGAGCAATGCCTGCTTCCTCTTTCCTCCCTGGAAGGAGCAACCCTGCCGCCTACCGTTGACTCGAGACTGCGCGGTCTTTAGCCAGAAGAATCGTCGCATGACCTGATCCCATATGACCCTAGACCCCAAAACCAGTCATAAGGGTCCATTTTAAATCGATTTATACATCATCTGAAAGCTGAATAAATAAACTTTCCATTGATGTATGATTTGTTAGTATAGGACACTATTTGTCTGAGATAGCTACAAATATTTGAAAATCTGGAATCTGAGGGTGCAAAAAAAATCTAAATATTGAGAAAATCACCTTTAAAGTTGTCCAAATGAAGTTCTTAGCAATGCATATTACTAATCAAAAAATCAAGTTTTGATATATTTATGGTAGGAAATGTACAAAATATCTTCACAGAACATGATCTTTACTTAATATCCTAATGATTTTTGGCATAAAAGAAAAATTGATAACTTGTGACTTATGACTGATTTTGTGGTCCTGGGTCACATAGGAGAATTGTGAAAGACCAAGCTTAGCCTTTAGTAAACGTTTGAAAATACCAGAAAAAAATGACGAATAAATTTGTGTCCTACCTTTATTGTAAAAAAACAAAGCAGAGACTATTGTGTGCACCATAAGCTAACAGCATGACGCACATTTAGTAGTATACATTTATTATTAGTATTATTAGTAGTTTATTTAATATTATTTATTAGCAGTGTATTTATTATCCTCATACATATACATAAAAATAGCAGAGTGAGAAAGAAAGTCACAAATACATAAGAATTATGCTGACAAAAAGACTGCTTTTTTTTTTTTTATCTGTGTGCATGTTTTGCCTTATACAGCAGATAGTCCTCTTTAGTGGGGCAACACACGGTGAAAATAGGGTCAAAAAGACCCATTATTGCTGTCTCATTTCGAGCGTTATCCATGGCTGTCTGTCCCCACACATCTTTCTCCTAAGAGTGAACAGGTTAAAAAATAGGGATGTATTTAACAAACATTAAAAGCCTAAAAAAATAGTACTGTCCAATCAGATAGTAGTTCATACCAGTGGCGTGGCTCCATATTCCAGTAGTTTGGTGATCATAGACTTGTCTTTAAGATAAACTGCCTCATGCATTACCGTCCGTCCATCATAATCTTTAGTGTCCATGTCGACTCCTGACAGAGCCCAGGCACACAGCAGAGGGTAATCTCTGTTCTGTACCGCTCTGTAGAGTGACAGGTTACACAAAAATAAGCTCATAGACACATAAAAATATATTATAAAGCATATTACAAGGGGAAGTAGTGAGATATTATGTGATTAATGCTCACTGGATCATTTCCATGGCAATTCTCACAGGGTGCAGATTAAGAGTGACTTCTTTCATGTGCAGGAGTTTGACAGCATGACAGCGCCTAAAAGAAACACCAGTCTATGTATGTGCTGGCAACACAGTTACACTGACATGTTCAAGCTGAGCATGTACAAATGCTTTTACTGCCCCCTATTGTTAGTTTGAATTAAACTGAGCTAGAATTCCCAATTGTGAAATGGGCAGCTGTCAATAGAGGGCTGCAGTGATGACATTTATGTAGGCCAACCCGGAAGTTGGCCTCATTTTCCCTGAAAATTTGAGTCTGAATAGTTTGAGAGAGTGCGATGAGGCTGTAAAAGTGAGCGATTGGGTAGATGGAGTGAGTTGAAATAATTACCTATTAAGAAAACAAGGAGGTATTACTGATGTATTTTATGTTGTAGAATAAAATGTGAAAACATTTTCTAAAAAGATAAGAGTTTTTCTTAAAAGTTTTCATACATTTAACCAAAAACCCTATTGACTTCAGCACAATGGAACTGGAAGTGCTGAAACGCTCACTCATTTCCAGGTTATGGCCCTGCAGCACTCTTTAAAGGCCAGACAGGTGCAACACATACACATAGATGAAATAGAAGTTGACATACTTTACTAGTCAAAAATGTCAGCTCAATCAACTGATTTCAGATCACAGAGGTGTACTGTAAATACCTGCTCTTAATGGCCATGTAAAATGGGCAGTGTCCAAAACGGTTCACCTTATGAGGAGATGCTCCCTTTGCTAGCAGGAACTTAATCATATCTAAGTTCCCAAACTCACAGGCTGTATGAAGAGGTGTGACATCGTCATAGGTTCCGCAATTGGCATCCATCTTTTAAATGAATAATAAAGAAATCACTTTGGGTACAAAATAGGTTTGAATTCTAATTTTTTGCTGTCTACCATTTTAGTTTAGGAAACCTGAAGTTTAATAACCTTCTCTAGGAGGGCGCTTAGAGAGAAGAAATCATTGTTTTCCACAGCTACGCAAGCAAAACACGGTATGATTCTGTCAACAAGCGATCTCCTTATCTAAGAGATAGCAGAGTAATTTCAAGCACAACGGACATATATTAATACGTTTCATATAAAGTTCAACTTTACATATTATCAAAGAACAGGTGAAACTGGTTGAAGTCGGGATGGAATCAAAGCTATGGATGTAAAATATTACATTTAAGTTGTCTGGACAGTTATTCCTTTGAATAACAGGTCTGTACAATCAATGTTAAGTTTCAATATAAAGTTTCCAGCCTACAAAAAATAATTAATGTGTCAATTATTGTGTTACTGGCACTGTAGGCAAGTGAGTCTATTCATGCCTGGACTTCTTTGCCAAGTAGCCACTTAAGTTTCAGCACTTTGCCCAGTCTATGCAGAAACTCTTTGTCTCGGACCACCACTCTGTTAATGATGATGGGCTTGAAGCTGGAATTCACCACAGCTGGTTTCTGCATCACAGAAACTATGAGAGAGACATAAAGCGAGGTGATTTGTTAGTTTTAAAAGGAAAAGTTCTAGAAATATTGTAATGCACACAGGAACCAAATTCAATATAGGCTATACACTTATTGTATGGTCTTTTGTATTGGCTAGATATAGCCTACTGTGTAAAATTCAAATAAATCCCATATTTTTTTCCTTTGAAAAAACACGTTTTGTTCAGATCAACTGAAGTAGGCCTATTCCTAAGAAATCCTAATCTTTTTACGTTTTTTTTTTAAATTTTCTTTTCATCACTGATTTGTCACTGACAAACACCGTAGGCTAGTAAGTGCCCAAAACAAGCAAATGTAAATGGGCTCCACAAGTCGATTCATTACAATATTATTACATTTGATTGACTAAAAATCATGTAATGGCATTATTTATGACTCTCCGATTTAAGCTATCCCTTAACAGCACAACAACTCAAAAGGACGCTAAGTTATGAGGGTTGTGTAACGTTGTTTTACTTTAACGTTACTCCCTCAGCTTTACAACAAAGCACAGTCGCTTGCCCTGCGACTAGAAACAAACCTTAAATCAAGTAGAAACTGATATATAAGAGGATCAGCAAATAAATCGCTTCTGTTGTAGTGAGGATCGTTGCCTGTGTTGTTAGCAACCAACATACGAATCCTTTGACTGCATAGCTCATGAATATTTAATAGATAACGTTAGTGTGTATGTTGTTTGGTGTTCTGAGCTTCTTATTTATTTATTTGTTTGCTTGTTTATTTATATAGTTAGTTGTTAGTTTTTGCTTTGACTACTATTTCGTGGGCCAAGCTCTTTTAAAGTGGAATTTGGTATTTTGCCATCATAAAATCAGTCCATAACGGCGAATATCACATAACGCGCTTAATATTCATGAGCTAAGCATTTTCATCGTAAAATGCATATTTTTTCAAAGGGGTCCTATTATGCTCTTTTACAAAGTCTTGATTTTGTTTTGGGGGTGTACTAGAACAGGCTCTCATACTAGGTTGTTCGAAAAACACATTATTTTTCACATATTTTACATTATTACAACACCTCTCCTCCCCAGTCTGGCATGAACGGCTCGAATAGTTCCTGTATCAAACGAAGGCCCGCCTTCAGAAATACGAAATGTGCTGTGATTGGTCAGCTGGGCCAGTGTGTGTTGTGATTGGTCAGCTGGGCCAGTGTGTGTTGTGACTGTTTAGCTGGGCCAGTGTGTGTTGTGATTGTTTAGCTGGGCCAGTGTGTGTTGTGATTGTTTAGCTGGGCCAGTGTGTGTTGTGATTGGTCAGCTGGGCCAGTGTGTGTTGTGATTGGCAGCACTCGGCGCCTGATTGGGAAATGTCATGCCCTTACCATAGCCGCCTGCCAGCTTCAGTGTAAATATTGTGTCAAAATCAAATCAATTTGAGCGTGATTTAAACCCGGATGATTGTAACCCCTCTAAGTTCGTCTGCCTTGGGAAAGGTAGCTAGCTAGTCTCAGACATAGTGATAACACTCGTTGCCTTGTCTAGTGCAGCTCAACCAGGTCTCGTCCCATTCGTCTATATTTGTGATATCACAAATCCCGGAAAATATGAGTTGTAGTCCAAACGAGTCGTTCGTTGTAGTTTTTGAAAAGTGATTTCTGTTAAATAAAATGTCTCCTTTTGAAGTGGACTTTGAACTTTGCAGATCTTTTTTATGCTCAAAAAACATTACAGACTAACTAAAGTTGAAAAAATGAAAAAGCATAATAGGACCCCTTTAAATAAGGTAAACTGCTAGCTAGTGTCATGTGACTGACGATTTGCCCGGAAGCTGTCTTGTTTCTTCTAGTAGTGGGCTAACTAACAATGTAAGTAGGCCTACAGTAACAGTCCTTTATTTTTGGTTCTTGCAAAAGAAATTCTAATTTATATTAAGACATTTTTTTATTTACATAATAAGAAAGCAATTAAGACTGTCTCTATTTGTAAGTCCTTTAATATATTTACATACTGTTTAGCCCACCCCCTGGCTGTATGTGTATTTTCTATACATCTTATTTTTTTTGTTTGTGTTTTATGATTTCATGTATATTATTGTAGTCCTAACTGTACTTTCACTGTGTTTATTGAAGTTTAATAAAATAAATAAATAAAATAAACAAGTAGTAGGCTAACTAACAAACAAAGAATGATGGGAAAAAGGTGCTGTTTCAAGTTGTAAAATAAAACCACAAAAGACTATCTTTAAATGTAACTTTAATAATAATTTTAAAAAACAATCTTTATATGTTTATTTATATAAAAGTATACAATTCACATTCAGTTTTACCGAAAATACAACAACACTTGGAACAAGAAAAACCACATGTAGGCTATAGGAAGTGGATAGTGGATAGGACCTGATTTAAATCCAGAAATGTCATGGGATTAAGCAGGATGTAATTCAGTCATGGTCTGAGAGAGAAGGAGAGAAATCCACTGCATTAGAAACTCACCTTTGAAGCATACTTAGAATTTAATAATTTGAATAACTTCAATAATAATGAATTAGGTAATTCAAAATCAACAAAACACACACACATGCACACACATATAATAGAATATTTTTCTAACTAAATATTTACCGCATAGCCTGTAAAGTTCCTCCTCTGATTATACTGTATAACTGTAAAAGCAAAGGACATTGCTGTCTGGACCATACTGAACATGGAGATGGTTGCCTTCAATCCCCTGCTGAAATGCTTATTTAAAGAAAGAGTCCTTACTAAAATATACAACTGTTTAATATAACAGAACTCTCACATATGAGGGTACGAGATACATACAGTGGCATAATACTGGTGGTGACACATCTGGTGTGGTCCCTCATGGCATTTGGTTGCCGGATTGAAAGCAATGTCAGCATAGTATAGGACAAGTGCAATAACTGAGATGATAATGGCCAAAGCAGACATTGCCAAACAAACAGAGACCTAAAGACAAATGCAAATTTCATTATTTTTGTCTTTTTTGTTTATTTTGGATTTTCTGTTATACAGAATATGCCTGCTGATGTGAAGCCTTTGCATTTGATTATGGGTGAAATACAAGAACGGCATATGCCAATCTCTAAAATGTGCTCCAACAGTTTTTCTGTCTTGCTGTAAGTTCAAACTCACTGCTTTCAAGTTGGCATACTTTTCCAATGCTATTGCAGCTGCGCCTGAAATGACAAACTGTTTGGAAAAAAAGAGACAAAATATAAAGTTCAGTGATAGGTCCATTGTTGGTGGATATACAATTTACTGTACATTATTCCTTTAAAGCGGTCATATGATGCGATTTAAATTTTTCCTTTCTCTTTGGAGTGTTACAAGCTCTTGGTGCATAAAGAAGATCTGTAAAGTTGCAAAGACTAAAGTCTCAAATCCAAAGAGATATTCTTTATAAAAGTTAAGAGTCAACCACGCCTACCTAAAACGGCTCGTTCTAACACACCCCCACATGTCTACGTCACGATGTGGGAAGATTTGCATAACGCCGCCCAAATGTTCACGCAAAGAAAGAAGGCGTAACTTTTATTCTCACTGTAGTATTGTTGTTGCCGCCGCTGCCATGTTGTGAAGACACTGTGTGTTTCGTTGTGAAAGCAACTAGAAATCAGTGGTTAAGTTGTATTTACAACACTGTTCCAGAACAGTTCAACCCAAATATTCAGATGTGTCCAGCGCATTTTATGGAGGACTGTTTCCTGATCCTGGTAGAGTAGACTACAATGCTGGCTGTTCTGACTCACAGTCGGTAAGTACGTTTTTTATATTTAAAGAATTTGTCACTGACGATTCAAACGCGAATTTTGAGCAGTGTAGAGTAGCGCTTGTTATTTGTAATTTCTCCGATCACAAATGCAGACATGGTTTTATGTTTACGCGGCGCGATGCAACTTTACTGTATAAAGACAGTGTAAGTCATTATAATCCGTAATTATGTCCCAACTGGATGCAACAAATGCCTCGTTTATAATGGGTTTTAATGTTTTTGTCTCGTCGCATCACAGTATGGTAGGGCCGTAACATTTCCGTCACACGCTTGAGGTATTCGGCCAATCACAATGCACTGGATAGCTGACCAATCACAGCACACCTCGCTTTTCAGACTGATGAGCTTTGTAAAAATCGACACGTTTCAGAAAGGCGGGGCATAGAGGAGAAACAATAATGTACAGTATGTGGAAAATAATTTGTTTTTTTAACCTTAAACCGCATAAACAGATTTCATTACACCAAATACACAAAAGAATGTTCTTTTTAGCAACATCATATGACCCCTTTAAATCCTTTGCTATCACCTTAAAGAAACTATTATATAACCATGTCCTAGCGTATTAGTGTAATTTACCATAAGGCCACTCCACCATGGCACACCAAAGTTAAGTATCATGGTCCTCTCAGCGGAGAGCAGAGGAATAGAATAGGAGATGATCAGCAATCCTATTACTATCTGAGCGACCTATGAGAGACAGAAAAAAGAGGGGTGGCTCAGCATGAATTTTATACATCAAGTAAAATATAACTTGGGTTTTTGTAATCTACTGAGAGTATATTTAAATCAGTTTTAGCTGAGGTATGATGTTAAACTGTTTCTGATAGCATCTTAAACAAAAATGATCTTCTATAATTATTCAGTGTTTAGCACTTCTTTCACATTTACACAAATAACACAATTTTACACAAAGTCAAGACTATATTAAACATATTAAGGACAGAATCTTATAAGACGGGAACACATGAATCAGAACTGTTTTATATTTAATGTACTACGCTATATTTGTAGTTTTAAATGTAGATTTTCTGATGAAATATTATTCAACATCATTTTAAATGTTGTAATGTATAGGCTAATTAAATGATCGACTAGGCAAAATTGTTATTTAAAATGGTAAAAATGCAGGGGCCAATATAAACCCCTAACAACAGCCGTATACTGGAAATATAGAATTAACTATTTTAGAGGAAATTCTATTTTAAAGTGTTTGTGTTTTTAATCACCGTGTTCCCTGAATCAGGAGCTCTAAGACATTTTGAGGTCTATAATTGCATATTATGTACAGATATAAAGACAAGATGCAAGGTGCAAAGAAAATGTACATTTACACACATTATTAATTTGCTGGTATACAAATCTTTTGTCTTTTCTCTTGTGACAGAGAAGACATTTGCATTGTGAAGTTAATTTATGAAATTATCAGACAAAAGAACCCCCATTTGCTTTCAAGATGTACAATTGTGCCAGAAAACCTCCCTATGAGAACCTGGGCTGAGCCCTGTATGATTATTGAAGCCATAACACGACGTTCACTCACCCCGAATATTTTGGGCTCCCCCTTCTCGATGCTGTCCCGGAGAGCTTTTTGTTTGTCTTGTAGTTTTTCCTCTACCGGAGTTGGGCTAGTGTTGACTGACAGGTCCGTCGACACGGTCAAAGTCATCCTTCGTTTTCAAGTAAGTGGAGTTTGTAATAACAAATGCGACAATGAACACAGCTGGGTAATGCCAGATACTTTTAAGAAGTACAACAAACTCGATGTACGCGCAGAGCGGAATTCCACATGAATGAGTGAGACAGACAGGCTGACCTAAAAAAGTCTGCAAGGATTCTGCGCGTTCTTTTAAGTTGTTTGTTTGTTGTGTAGGCCACTGGCTGGACCTTCTCCTGTTGCTTGAATGAATCTCTAAGTGCGCAACAATTCCAACGGAAAGATCTGTATTACAAAAACAGTTAGACCCACCCTTGCGTTTTTATGCAAGCAACACAAAAAAAGGGGTCTGTCCAGCCCCCTTCTCCCCATAGGAGCTTTTATTGAACGTCTTCGATCACTTCATAAACAGCTCTGTTTCCCTCAGCAAAGAGCTTTCTAGGGTTCCCAGAAACGACATTCGAGGTGCGTATTTGAATGAAAATTACATTTGACCGGACATATTTATCAGTAACATGTGACATACTTTCTAGCTGTATTCATGAGAGTATTTTTTTGGTGATGCCTGAAACTAGTTTTTAAAAAGTGCATTTAAATTGTGTAGTGGCTTGCTATAGTTATCATGTGTATTTGTGATCGTACACTCTAAAAAAAACTGGTGCTATATAGCACCAATATTCAACAATAACCATAAAAGTGGTTCTTTGGCTTGTAATCATAGGGGAGCCACTTTTAGTGCTATTTAGCACCTATTTTTACAGGCGCTATATAGCACTTTGTCAAATGGTGCCATGTAGAACCATAAGAGGTGCCATATAGTACTTTTTCTCAACAATGGTGCACCAATCATAACTCATCCATGGCTCCCAGCAGCATGCATTGCGACATGAATAAATTATGCAGCTGCATTGTCTTAGTATTTTCTTTTATTCTTACTATTTGCTTTTATTTTTGTTGTGACTTTTTACTGCTCTGTTTTGTGATGTTCAAAAATCATATCAAAATTATCAGAATATTTTGTCACCATTTCTGAGATTCACATGCTGATTCTTCATGTCTATGAGTGACAGATTTGAAACCTCTTTATAACCCATAATTCTAAAAGTTGTTTATACAATTTTCTCACACTGTCACGTAGTATCGTAGAACTGCAATAATATAAAACTCATAAAAGAACTACAGCTTTTGATCAAATGCAACCAGAGACTCAGACACATTAAATGATTTTACCTTAAGTTCCTTGCCATCACATATGTGCTTTATAAACACTATTGTAACAGCCAAAGAGAAACTTATTTTAACTGAAAATTAAAGTCAAGGGTCAAGAGGCAACTAAAGCAAACACTATTCACCAAAACGGTAAGTTGAAAAAAAAACATCTAAACCTTATTTCTCAAAAAAGAACTTATGTTTTAGATACTCCAGAAATAAATTCTAACTGGTTAGTAATGTGTGAAGTTGGTAATACTGTGTGTGGAGGGGTCCTTTTTTTCTGAGGTCAAAGGTCTCATGTGGGGGCCCTGGAATATTTCCTTTTGGGGGCAAAAAAAATTATATCTTCAAGAAATAGACTGTATTTTAATGTTGTTTTAACCCTTTCCCCAACTAAACTAAGAG